AATTATGGATGAGAAGAGCAGTGTACTGTGATAATAGTGATAACTGGAGTGATGGCTTGAAGAGGCTTATGTACAGTAACAGCTGAGTAAATAAATGTCATATTGTAAGCAAGAAAACTTTCGTTCGAATAGAAATTTATCGATTTGCAATAAAAACATTTCAACAGATATTGTGAAAAATAATGCAAAATGAAAGTTCAATAATCTTTGCAAGAAATTCGTGAGAAATTGTTTGGGATTAGTCGGAATCAATGTGGATAATGTTAGCTTCAATTGGTTATATGAATCAGCTGTCTCGATTCCTTTAGAAATTTTCACCGACGAAATTCACAAACCGAACGAGATTTCTCATAGGTGTTCTTCAGCATTTCATATCACATCTTTTAAAATCAATTCGTTCACCAAATCAATATTTCGAAACAATTTCAAACTGACATTGCGAAACTTTGATCAGATCGGTGTATGCTATCAAACTCTGATTTAATTATTAAAAAATGCTACTCAGTGATGAATTTACTGAAAGGATCGTGATGTATTCGACATTAGTATTGAGCAAACTCTAGCAGTCGACAACTATCCAATTATATTCTGATTCTGAGTTCCTACGGAGAAGTTAAATTTGATATCAAAATCGAATCTTTCTGGAATCAAAATTACGAAATCTGAACATTTCTTCCACTCTTCCAGTTATTGAAAATCAAATTTCGTTGCCTCTGAAATCAGAGTCGCAGGTAGCAAATACTATTTTGCGTTCTCAGATTGAGTTCAATTATAAACTCTCATTAAAAAATCAAAAATCAAAATAACAAAATGAAATGATCAACAATAATATCGACACACAAACTAACCAACTGCAGCAACCATAATAACAATAACAACAATAGAAATTTGATAATAAATTGGATCTATGCGCTCGAGAAAGCATTGGTCACAGTTTCATATCGGTCCACCTTAATCATTCGAATCATATCACCACTTTCACCGCCCACCACCAAAACGGTTCCGACATCCGGACAAAATCCAAGCGAATGAAGTCCACCTAGCGATAGCGATTCCGAATGAATCTCTTCCAGTTTATTCTCTGCCATCTTCCATATTTTCAGTTTCTGCAAAATGAAAATTCTGTTCCAGCCAACCGAACAATTTTCTTCTTTTCAACTTGCCATCTCAATCGCAAAAGAACTTACTATTGCCCGTTTGCATCACCAAACTGCTCTAATGAACAATGGTTCAAACACAAAATATACTATAAATTAAAATAACTACCATAAAAAGTTCAATACGATAAACAATCCCGAACTTACACTATCCGCGCCACATGTAGCAATGAGTCCTTGAATTTTGTAACTTTGCGATATGCATCGCGCACCTCCTTCGTGAGCATCACATTCGATGACCACTTTATCTGATCGAGAATCCATGTAACGTAGTTTCCCTATAATTGATATTGATCACATGTGACTATCGAAAATCGCAGCGAGATTCAAAAGGAACGTTTGTTGTTTATGACGATGAAAACTAACCGAAGATGGCAAAAATGCTACTCAGTGATGGATGTACTCAAAGAATCATGATGTATTTGAGAACAGTATTGAGAAAACTCTAGCAGTCGACAACTATCCAATTGCAACTATCCAATTCTGATTCCGAGTTGTTAAGGAGATGTAAAATCTGATATCAAAATCGAATCCTTCTGGAATCAACATTAGGAAATCTAAACAATTCTTCCACTGTTCCAGTCACTGGAAATCGACTTCCGTTGCTTCCAAAATCAGAGTCGCACATAGCAAACACTATCTTAGGTTCCACAAGAATTGGAGTTAGTTTGTTTCCTCTTAAGTACTTAATACTTTTTAATTGCTCACAGCTCTCAAAAACCAACCACACTAGCAAAAACGCACCATCGTCAGTGGTAACATAGAAGTAAAATGGATTGAAATGATCCCACAAAAGATGTTCCACTTCGCCTTCAAATTTCCACCTTCTCGATGGCTCGGTAACATTGTAACGACAATCAGCCAGTGATAATTCACCATTTAAAGAACCACTCAACAAAACTGACGCCTCTCCGGGATGCCATTTCACACATTGTACCTGACGGTAAATATGATAGCGACAGCAACACAAACAATTTAAGTTATAATTCAAACACAATTAAAACAATTCATCAAACATTAAAACATTAAAACACAATTCAAATTCAAAACATAATTCAAACATAACTCATAATTCAAACGAAACATTAAAACACAATTCATCAGATCACTAGATAAACTCAGAAAACTAACAATAACTAAATCTTGGATAAACGAAAATTTGCTTTCATCCATCAATTAAGCTGCACTCGCTGCCTAGCTCAGAGTCGAATAAATTCAGAAGAAAGTGATGTGAAAATTTCTATAAAACAATTGAGGAAGCTTAATCGCAAACGATTCAATTACTCACCTTATCAGTGAACATCGTTAGAATAGTACTCGCTTTTGCTTCTTCCAAATCCCAAAGAATGACCGATTGATCAGCGCTTCCGGATGCGAGAACGTGTTCAGTGACACGATTCCACGATAGACTCAGCACAGCATCTGAGTGTGTTTGGTGTGTGCCGTCACGTTTTCGACGTCTTCGTGCACTTTTCTTTCCATCTGAATGCAGACTTTTTTGGAGTTCAATTAACTTACACAGCCATTTCAATGCAGCGAACCACGCAATCAGAAAACTCTTCCAACTGACACTTCAAAAGGCTACAAATCGCTCACTATCAGTCATTTCTCCCTGGCAAACTTGCAGTTTTCTTATGACTGCTTGTAAGGATAATAAAATCAGCTCTAAATAAAAGATGAAAAAATCTTAAAAATCATCCACTGAGTTGCCAGAGGATACTATCGAATACATCAACGAATCGACGGGATGAACTGACCTGAAAGGTGGTCGCCAAGTACCACGACTGGTTCAACCGCGTTAACTACATCCAAATCCCATATACTTACCGCTGAATCCATTGTGCCGACGGCTAGTAGATTACCCTTAACGAGTTAATATTATTATATCGACGGTCAGAATAAATCAGTGAATCGTAAGTTTGCCTATTATGAAATGCAACAAAAGATAAACCTTCCTATCATCAGCTCCCGGATCATATTGGATTGGCTCTAAGCACAATGGTGGAGCGTCAAGTAAATAATCGTGATGCACATACCAATCGTCACCCTCTTCATTGTACACATAGACTTCTAGACCGAATTCACCCTAGAATTCGCTCATAAGGAATTGTTAGTTGACGAATATTCCGCAGTATGAAATTCTCCAAGTTACTTTCCTTTTTTACACACCAGAATAATCGCTAAGTAACAGTTTTACATAAAACAAACGAGTCTGATAAGTTGAGAGGTTTGGAACTATAAAAAATGTTCTTATCTTGAAAGACTATTCAAGTTCACAAGCAAATAACTATCAAAGAAGTGTCTGCCAGTGTACAACAGAAAAAAAATTTTCAATTTTAAGAATTTCTTCAGTTTTGCAAAAAGGCTGACAATGTGAGACGAACAATAATAGGTGATGAGCCATTCGCAGAAGGACATTCATTCGTAAGCAATCATAAAGAATATCAAATATGATATGACAGAAGAAGTTGTTAAACCTTGTTGATTTTCGCGACAGCAACAAGATTATCGTTCTCTTTAATCTCGAAATCCTCCTTATCCTCCTCTTCATCACTCTCAATGTGTTGTGTTATATACGGATCATCGAGTGGTGACGCGAATGCGGCTATTCCAGCCAGTGGATTCACTCTGAATTCAGTCATACTCTCACTGCGCTCCTCGTGAATATTCCAAAAAACTTTTGTGAACAGCTCAATTCAGTTATGATAATTGCATCCAGAAAACGCAATATGGAATTATAGGAATATCCTGAACCTTCTACATTATCAACCATAATCAATGAATGATGCTCTAAAAATTTCGTCAGATTCTGAGTCTTGTTTCACCTACTCTGTTTTATTCTCTTCACCAGATTCTTTCGTGTCCCCTTCCGGTTCTTCTGCCTCTGAATCAGGAGCAGAGCCACGAATACCACCAACCTCAAGTGAAATTATCAAAACATGATAGTGAGAGGTGAGGGGGAATAAAAGGGTTGAACGCGTCTAAGAACGAGCTTATGACGTCGTCGGCTAACTCAAACTGGATTTGAATACCTCAAAAATTGGTTTTGCATTTTCCTGATACTCAGAAGATCCCACTATTTCGAAAACTTCACATGAAGAACATGGTACTTTAAAAAAAATAGAGAAATTTGGGAAGATGTAACTGGAAGATTACATCTTCCCAAATTTTGTATATCTTCTCAAATTTTGTATAAGACAGTCTGTACTGTTGTTCAATATAATGTCAAGTAATGCTGCACGATGGGTGAAATTCATGTGTGTAACATAAGATTTTTCTAAAATTCAATAGGATACGAATTTCCAAAATCAATCGCTTCTAATTTTGCTGTTTCCAGTGCTAACATTCTGCTTTTCAGCGGCATCGCCCTCACCCTCTCGCATTGCCTCGTCTGTATCCGATTGATCACTTGTTTCCGCATCTGCCCCTACAATCCAAATGTCAGTGACATTTAAAAATCATCATCTGCGGCATCGATAGCCTCAACAGTGCACATCAGATTACAACTTTTGTGATTACAAATTGTTAAGTTTCTAAATCGCTCCTACTGTATATCATGAAAGCTTCTAGAACGAGTGAACTGATGAACAGGCGATTTCACCTTGAATCATATCTCGTAAATCAGCAGGATTCACTTGCACTTTATCGGGTACATGTTTCGCAACACCTCGTTTGATCCATGCTAATGACGATACCAATGCAACACGATCCATTACCAAATATGAACTTAAAGTTTAACTATAAGTGAATTTGAAAGGTTTGCACAATGCAATCGAAGAAAAGGAACGAAACGATCATATTTAACATTTTTCTATTACTGTTGGGACAACTTTATAATTTTATTTGCTGCTTATCCACTTGGGATGGATACTTTCGAAATCTTTACCCTAGACCACTAATTGTGAATGCGACGAATTCGTAATGCATTTGTTATTCATGAAGTTGATCTTCTCAAAACCTACGATCAACGCTTTTTCACACTCTAAATTCTATACTTCCATTGAACACATAGATTCATGAGAAATGTTACAAATGACAAAAATACTTTTACAATTTTTTATTACCGATAAC